TCCGGATGGGCGGCTGTCGGCGCCTTCCGCCCCCGGGGGTCGTGCAGGGGGGTCGAGCTTTATGTTAATGGATGACCCTCTTCGAGGGGAACAACTTTTATTGCAAATTCTTTTTAATCCGATTTGTATTTTTCCAAATATTCTGAAAAACAGTTTTACATGCCTCACCCTGTATATGTATATATTTATAATATACACAGGTATATTGCATGGATATACATCGCATGTACAGCGTTGCATTTGCACATACCTACACTGAGAGCTGAAAAACAGTGATGGTTATAACATTTTTCCTCGTTTTTTAACTTTTAGTCTTTCTTACAGTAACCATTACGTAGCACTACAGTAAGCATTCTCCCAGTAATCAGTACGAATTTTACAATACGAGGTCTGTTCAAAAAGTATCGCGAATTTTGTGTTTTTTCAAAAATTATTTATTTATTCATGAATATCTATGTTGTCCCTTTCAAAGTAATCCCCATCAGATATTATACACTTGTGCCAACGTTTTTTCCAATCTTCGAAGCACTTCAAAAAATCCTTTTTTGTGATCTTGTTCAGCTCCTCCTTCGATGCCGTCTTTATCTCCTCAATCGTGGCGTAGCGTCGTCCTTTCATGGGCCTCTTCAATTTTGGGAACAAGAAAAAGTCACAGGGGGCCAGGTCTGGGGAATACGGTGGCTGCGGCATCATTAGTGTGTTGTTTTTGGCCAAAAATTCGCGCACAAGCAACGATATGTGAGCAGGGGCGTTATCATGGTGTAAAAGCCAATTTTTGTTCTTCCACAAATCCGGGCGTTTCTGGCGGATTGCTTCGCGCAAATTGCGCATAACTTGCAGGTAATATTATTCACCGTTCTACCCTGTGACAAGAACTCATGATGCACCACGCCCCTGCAATCGAAGAAAACTGTAAGCAAAACCTTCACATTCGACCGAACTTGGCGCGCTTTTTTCGGTCTTGGCTCGTGCGGCAGCTTCCATTGGGATGATTGAGCTTTGGTTTCCACGTCATAACCATAAACCCATGATTCGTCACCAGTTATGACCCTCTGGAGCAAATTTTGGTCGTCGCGGACAGAGTCCAACAGCTCCGTAGCAATGTTAATGCGATGCTGTTTTTGGTCGATAGTGAGCAATTTTGGTACGAATTTCGCGGCGACCCGTCTCATGCCCAAATCATTGGTAAAAATCGAATGGCACGAACTAATCGATATGTTTAGGTCCTTAGCAACTTCTCTAACGGTGATTCGACGATTGGCTAATACTATTTTCTTCACTTCATCAATGTTTTCGTCTGTTATTGACGTGCTCGGGCGTCCGGCACGCTCTTCGTCGTTCACATCTTCTCGGCCCTCTGAGAACATTTTGTACCACCGATAAACGTTGCTTTGGCTCAAGGTAGCTTCACCATATGCCACAGTCAACATTCAGAATGCGTCCGCGCACTTAATTTTGTTTTTCACACAAAATTTGGTACATATTCTTTGATCCATTTCTTGGAATAGGCAAAAATCGAAGACGAGCCAAAACACGTCCAAGCAAAATAGCTGTCAAAAATTAACTGAACATTCAAAATGGCCGAACTTGTCAGCATGAGTGAGGGACATGAGTACCAACATAACGCCACAAAAAAATCGAAAATCGAATATACGTAGCCCGCGGAAATTCAAAATTCGCGATACTTTTTGAACAGACCTCGTAACTATTACGGATTCTACAGTAATGAATATAGTTCAACTGATTGACTGTTAGGTACTTACTAATCCAGTATTGAATCAGTACTGTATTTCCACAATCATTACGATAAAAACCAGTAATGGTTTTGGTACAAGATTTTATTGAAAAAAAAAATTTCAACTAGTTCTTTTTTATAATTTAATATTGTTTCGGAACATACACAAAAAAAATCTTGAACGCCTCCGAGACGCGTTTAACCGCGCGCTTTCGGTTCTTGTCACGCACCTCAATACTTCTCATTCGCGGCCGTCTTCGTTGCTCGAGTGCGCTGTGTGTCAATTTGGATCTGTCGCGCACCCCCCGTTTAAGCGGATCCGTGCTGATAGATCCTTTAGGCTAAAAGTCTGAATCCGGCCTTTGGTGACTACGCATACCTTCTCGTTAGTGAGATTCGAGCTTCGCGTTGAAGATAAACTTCGTTGAGCCTCGACAGAGACTCCTTTCCGCCGATCATCGGCAAGTATTGTACCGGATCGCGCCAGCGATATTATCGGTCCGCCTCGCGAATTATTGTCGACGTCGCGACTCTTTTCGGCCGTGAGTTCAGCACGTACCAGCCACGTGTTCCGACCTTCTCCTTTGACCGAAGGCTCAGCCAGACAATATATCGAGGGAACGGTGGATCGCGCGTTCGCGAGCGGAGCTTGATCGCTGCGAGTTCACGATATCTCCGTCGCGACAAGATTTCCGTCGTGTTAGGAACTCACATCGAGTTCCAGAAGAAGATTTCCGTCGCGGTTCGCGCGCAGCTGTGACGATCAAGCGGCAAGATTTCCGACCGTTCCGTTTCATTTTACGCCACCGTTCCGACCTCAAACTCAGCTGTTAAGTGTAATAAAGTTTATGTGGTTCTCAACGGTAGTTTTACAGTCAAGTCCCTTCCTCCCCTCCATTCCCGATTAAAATTAAATCAACCTAGCGCATTCCCAAACATTCTGGTCCTTCGAGCCGGATCGGGATTGAGGTTTTTGCCCTTTGACTGTTAACACAAATGAGTGCTACGCATCCGATCGCGAGTTAATCATCGTTCCGCGTAGTTGTGCAAAAAAACCCCTACAATCAGTGCAAAATGGACTCCTTCGACGAATTGATGTACGAGCAGGTGTCACTAATGAAATCCGTGACTCATGCCGTATCCAATTTTAAAAAGTTAGGTCAAGCTAAGATGACCTACGCCGTGACTAAAAACCTCCTAGAGACTTTGGAGACGAGGTTCAACCAATGCCGTAAATTGGATGCCAAATTACTCGCTGCCACAGATGAAACGGAGAGGGCCAGTACATCATACTTCACGAATCACGAGTTTGACGAGTGCCAAGACGCCTACGATTCAGCGTTGGACTATTTCGCAGAGGTTCTTCAAGACCTTTCCCCGTCCCTCCCCTTCCACCTCGGCTAACGTAAGTCATTCGCGCGAATGTACGTCTCATACTCCACCAAATTTACCGAAAATCTCGCTGCCGACCTTCGATGGATCGTTCGATAAATGGGAGAGCTTCCGCGACCGTTTCAAGTCGATGATCATCGAAGAAAAAAGCCTGTCAAACGTACAAAAACTGCATTTATTTTCGTGTCTCAAAGGCGACGCGCTCACAGCGATCGAACATTTAACTGTTACGTCCGACAACTTTAAGGTAGCGTGGACGACTCTTTCGTCCAATTTCGAAAACGAGCGTCGGGTGATCAACGCATACATACATCGCCTATTTACATTGCCCAATGTCACCGCGAAATCAGCAACCGAACTTCGAGCTCTACAGAACCAACTAACTGCCGCGATTGCCGCGTTAAAGAATTTGTCGCGTCCGGTCGACCGTTGGAGCGATATCTTCGTTTATCTCGTAACGCAAAAACTCGATAAATCCTCGCGCGAAGCGTGGGAAATTAAGTTGGGTAAAACTCTTGCGTATCCTACATTTGCCGAAATTAGCGCGTTCTTAGATTCTCGTATCCGAGCCCTCGGCGCTCTTGTACCCATCGCTCCGACTCCGATAAACAGAGCGATAAATCAACTGAGAAATCAAAACACCGGGCGACCGCCTCACATACCACGAGCGCTACCAAACTTTCGTGTCCTGTGTGCGACTCGAATCATCTATTGTATCAATGTTCCGCGTTTCTCGCAAAAACTCCGACACAGCGATACGAAATAATTCGTAATGGCAAACGCTGCCTTAATTGTTTAAGTTCGAAGCATCAAGCAAAAGAGTGCACAAGTACCCGCTCGTGTAAAGAGTGCCATAAAAAGCATCACACGCTTTTACACTTTTCCGACGCCCCGAAATCAGCTGTTCACGCGTCACCGCTCCCCGCGGCAACGACTCCTATCGCGCCAACTACTGATATTTCCTCGCATCGTTGCGAAAGCTAGACCAGCGCATCAAATTCTGCTTGCAACTGCTCGCGTTCGCGTACATTCAACGCACGGACGATCTCAATGGGCACGAGCGCTCATTGATCAAGGATCAGCGACATCCTTCATTACCGAGAATTTAGTACAGTCTTTAAGACTACCGAAATTGAAAACCGCTGTCAAGGTAACAGGTATCGGCGAGACACAGACTAGCGTTCGACACGCCGCTAACCTAACGATTACTCCCAGTAACGCGGATGCTTCGGTTTATTCAACCCCCGCGTTAATTCTAAGATCTCTTACTCAATATTCACCGAATCGTCTTGACATTCAAACACAATGGCCGCATTTGACTGGACTCACGTTAGCGGATCCCGATCCCGCGGGGTCAGATCCAATAAAAATCATAATAGGTGCTGATCTTTTCGGCTCCTTAATTCTCGATGGTCTTCGCAAAGGTGCCGCCAACGAACCGATTGCACAGAATACCGTCTCAGGATGGATTATTTCCGGGCCTACCGCGCATCCACGACCGTTATCTCAACCGTCGATCGGAGTGCATCACAGTTCTGTAACGGATGATCTCGACCAAACTCTTCGACGATTTTGGGAAATCGAGGAAGTTCCCACTTCCGAAAAATTAACTCCAGAAGAAAAGGCTTGCGACGACCACTTCCATTCGACGCATTCTCGCAATTCCGAAGGTCGTTATATAGTCAGACTTCCATTCAAAACCGGACCCCCTATCAATATTGGAGAGTCTCGACATACCGCACTTCAAAATTACCTTCGCACCGAAACCCGCCTTAAAACGGATTCAAAGAAATCAACAGAATATCACAACTTTTTAAAGGAATATTCTGATCTGGGACACATGCAACGCGTCTCAGAACCCGAAAAATTAAACGACTCCACTCAAACCGTGTACATCCCGCACCACGCAGTATTCCGCGCTAACAGCGCAACTTCGCAAATCCGCATCGTTTTTAACGCATCAAGCCGAACTTCCAACGGTACGACGTTAAACGATCACTTGCTTCCGGGTCCTAAACTTCAACGGGACCTTGCCTCAATCATTTTGCGTTGGCGCTCATTTCGATACGTTTACTCCGCCGACGTGGCAAAAATGTATTGCCAAATTATCGTCGATCCACGAGATCGTGACTATCAGCGCATCTTTTGGCGGCCGTCTCCATCATCTCCAGTGGAAGAATATCGTCTCTGTAATCGTAACGTACGGCATGACGTCAGCTCCATACCTGGCATTGAAGGTTTTGAACCAACTCGCAAACGATGAGGGTGCTTCATTTCCGTTGGCGACTCCCATAGTCGATCGTCAAACGTACGTCGACGACTTTATTTTTGGTGCCGACGACAAGGCGCTCGTCAAACGCGCGATCAGGTTGCTTCCCTTCTAAAAAGAGGTGGATTCGCTCAATATTTTTTATTTTTACAGTTGCTCAGAATATCGCGGTGTTGCAGAACTTAAGATTCTCTAAATCGATGACTATCGTCCTTCACATTTTCTTTACAGTTGGAAAAATTGCCATTCTCCATCGGGCTTGTTATAAATTAATAAGAGGCTACAGCATAATGTAAGGGGATAAGCGGCCTCAGTAGCTACCTGGCCAACTAAAAAGGCAATAGCTCCGCGCTCACGACTAAGCTTCGATAAATTACCTTTTGTCTACAGAATTAGTAATTCCACCAAACCGTCGGGAATCGCGAGTCCGCTTCGAGGATTCTGGGACGATCTCAGAAAGTGCGGTCCTTTTTTATTTTAGCGTCGGCGGCCTCCCGGCCTGGGGTGCTCGCTGCTGGAACACCACCTCTGCCCTTTTAAGGGTGGACGGAGCCCAGCGACTCCGTTAGGGGGGGGACTCGTTCGCCACACGTGTGGCGGACGAGCCCCCCCAATCGCTCGTAGGGGATGACGTACCCCGACTTCAAACCTCTGGCCGCCGGAGCCGATAGGGGGGAGCTTGCTCCCCTCACCGGGTAGTCTCCCTCCTGCCACTCCATTATGCCGGTGTTCCGGCGGGGCGGTGGGGGGAGCCCGGACGGAGAGCGGGATGGCACGTCATCGCCATCCTGCCTCTGCCGCATTCCCTGGCTGGGCCTGAACGCCATTGCACGTCGGTGTTCCGGCGGGCGGGAGGGCCTGGTTGGGGAATGGGGAGGTCCCTGCGCTCCTCCTAAAGCCGGTGCTCCGGTGGGGGGGGGGGCAAGGGGACGGAGCTCCGCTGTCGGGGGCCGGACGTGGTCCGGTTGGCCCGGCAGTGGAGGGCCCGACCCCGGTGGCGTAACCGTGCGTGGCGCGGGTCACCGGGGGGCGGGAAGACAGACGGGTAGTGAGGCCGCTCGGACGTTTCCGAGGCCGGGCCTGCTACCTGGAAGACCTCTCCGGGGGCCGCTGGGACGTTTCCCAGGCAGGGCCTCGGGAGAAGCCTTCAATTGCGCACAGTACAATTGGACACGTGCAATTGCACACAGTGCTATTGGACACATAATGTTGCGCACCGTTCATTTGGACAGTGTCTGTGCGACACTGAACTGTGCGACATTGAACTGTGCGACACTGAACTGTGCGTAAAAGAACTGTCCAATTGAACAAACGCTGATTTAGAAAGATTTATTATTTATAAATTAGCAAAATTTCCAAACAGGGCTCTACATGCATACGCGTGTGTCTGTGTATTTTAAATTATATTTCGATAACCTGTGTCCAAAAGCAACGGTGTCCAATTGTACGGTGCGCACAAGAACTGTGTCCAAATGAACGGTGCGCAAAAGAACTGTGCGCAAAAGAAATGTGCGCAACATTATGTGCCCAATAGCACTGTGTGCAATTGCATCGTGTCCAATTGTACTGTGCGCAATTGAGCCTCTCCCGGGCTTCGGAGGGTCTGGAGGATCGCGCCGACAGTCTGTCGGCCGACATCCGCCGTCGGAGCGCGAACCGGCCGTCACTCCATGTCTGGGGCCGTCGTCCTTTTCAGGGCGAGCGGTCTGGCACTGGGCCGGGCGGGGAGCGCTCAGGCACTGGCGGAGCTTCCGCCTCGCTGGGCGGGACGTGGTCCCGTTTCGGGGGGGCGGGAGGACCCGACCCTGGCGGCTTAACCGAGTGTGACTCGGGCCGCTGGGTGGGCGGGGAGGTAGCCCCGTAGGGCCATAGGTAGGGCGAGCGCTTAAAGCGCCGGGATGTGTGTGTAATTCTACACACATGTAGCGGATTATGGCACCTACGGGGCGGTGGACCACCGGGGCCGTCGGAACGTATTTCCGGGTCGGGGCTCGGTGGCCGAGAGGACGTGTCGTTCGGGGCCGCTCGGACGTTTCCGAGGCAGGGCTCGACGACACGGGGCCCTCCGGAGCCGCTGGGACGTTTCCCAGGTCGGGGTCCGGGGGGTTGCTGGCGGGGGGCTGTCGTGGTCTCCGGGTAGTAACCCGGGCCCGGCAGCCTGCTCGGACGAGGGGGACGGCAGGGGCCGCTCGGACGTTTCCGAGGACGGGGCCCTGCCAACCCCCGTGCCAGGGGGCCCACTCGATAGTCCACGCGTCCTAGAGTGGACTACCCCCCGGCGGAAGAAGGATCCACGCTGGTCGCCACGGCGGACTGGGCGGAGGGGGGCGGGCTTCCCCCAACGTCTTATTTCGTCCGTGGGGCCCCCCGCCGTGGCTGGCACGTGCATGGTGTCCGCGTAGTCGGAGGCGCGGAACCCCCCGAAAACCTCCTCGCGGGGGTGTGTAGGGGGCTGGAGCCCAGTGGCGGGGTGCGCGCATCCCCCCGCCCCGAGGCATATGCCGACTCCCCGGGGGAACTCGGGGGCCCGGGTCGTGGCCGGCTGTGGTCATGTTTCGCAGTCGGTCGCGGCCCGGTGGGGGTATACCCCGGTCGGCGGAGCCATGCACGGAGTGGGGATAATCCAAAATGAGTGCTAATAATCGAAACACCTTTTCGGATGTGGAGGAGGGAGAGGGCGGCGAAGCGACCGAACACCAGCCGCAGCCGAGGCAGCCTAGGGCTGTTGAGAGGGCGAACCTTACGTCTTCGTGGGATCACGATCAGCCGATCCCGAAGACGAGGACGTGGCTACCAGAACGAGGAGCCGAAGCTCCTCGCGAGGGAGGAGACCGAGAGCCGGTCCTCTGTGCTCAAAGAGGTCCAGTGATGTAGACCCACCAAAGGGGAGCGACAAAGATCGCGGTGGGCTGGGAGAGAGTCCGGGATAATCTGGTGTCACCCGCTCCATCCGGGATAGACACCTCGGACAACGGGGAGGACGCGACCCTCACCGGAGAAGGCGACGCCGACTGCGAGATGGCGAGTGCGCAGTCGGCGAGTGACTCGGGGGGCAGCACCCGGTCACACAAGTCGCTAACCGGGGCGACAAAAAGAGCAAAGAGCACCGACAGGGGGACTCAGAAGCGGAGTAAGGTTGAAAGGTCTCACAGCTTCCCAAAGAGGGGAAGGGGGAGACCGATCACCGACCCGTCGGGGAAAGGGGTTGACAGGGAAGCGAAGGAGAAAGCGAGAGCGGAAATCGCTCTGCTCGAGGAGGAAAGAAGGAACCTCGAGGAATACCTGCGGGGGGACTACAGCTCCCTGGAATTTCCAGCCAGGAAGGAGGAGCTGATAAGGGAGTTGAGGGAATCTATCCCAAATACCCCGTCGCGAGATCTGGTGGCGCAGATGATCGCCAGCTTGGTGGACGACCTCGCCACCAGATCAAGCCGCTTGAAGGGCGGCTTTGTCAAGCAGCTCAGAGAAGGAGCCGCCTTTTTGGAGTACGCGGCGGATGCCCTGTTCAGCTGGGCGAACACCGGCTCGGCTGGCAGGCTAGAGGAGGAGAACCAGCTCCCTCAGGAGGCAAATAGAGGCCCTCCAGAGGGAGATGAGGGACAGGGAGGAGATGCCTCCTCCTCCTCCTCCCCCCGTTGTCCCCACGAACATCGATGGGGGGGGCGATGGACGTATCCCCATCGCAATTGGAGGACATACCACCAGAGGATACACCGAACGTCCTGTCCCTCTACCTATCGGCTAGGGGTAGGCAGAGGGATCTGACGGAGGGGGATAGGGGGAACTTAGTCATAGTTCCTTCTGCCCCCCCGGCGGAGGGATGGAGGAAGCAGGGAAAGGGGGAGGGGGCGATCCCCAAAAAGGGAAAGACCCCCTCCCGGTCTTCAGCAGCGAGGAGGCCCGATCCATCACCATCTCCTTCCAGACGGGCTCTACCAAAGAGCGCGAAGGAATTGGAGAGGGTGGTGGAGAGAAGCGTAAGGGAGGCGGTCGATCGATGTAGGAAAGACATGGATCGACAAATGAAGAGGATGGAGGAGATGATTAGGGCCCTTGTGGCCGCCGGTGGGGCCCGAAATAGCGGTCCCGCGGCTGCCCCCCCCCCTCGTAGGGGGAGGGGCGGCCGCTGGGGACGGCCCGGTTCCCGACGGCGGCCGGAAGGCCCAAAAGAAGAAGGGGAAGAAGAAGTGGGGGAAAGGGAAGGCGACCGAAGAACGGCCGCAGCCCGTCCCCGCTTCTTCTTAGAAAGGCGCCCCCAGGGGATAAAGGCGCCGGGGAGATGTCCACTGCGGGGGCGGGGAAACAGTCGGGGGCGATCTTAGCCCCCGAAACGGGACCCTCTGCCCCGCCCACGGAGAGGCCGTGGACAAAAGTGCTGGACAGCAAAGAGAAAGCGGCTGACAACAAGGCGAATAAGGGAAAAATGAAGGCCCCCCTCCAGGCCCCAAAATAAGGGGCAGGGAGGGGGGATGAAAAGCCTCCCCCCAAGAGAAGGATACCGCGGACATCGGCCGTGGTCCTAACGTGCTCGGACACTGGGGACTACGGCCGTATAATGTCCGATATGAGGGCCAAAATTCCGTTGGCGGAACTGGGCATCGGTGGCCGGACAAACATCAGAATGGGGGCCACCGGTGCCACAGTTGTGGAGATATCTGGCCAAGACCACGCGGCCAAGGCCGACCTGCTCGCGGCCCGCATGAAGGAAGCCCTTCATGCCGAAAAGGGTGCGCAGGTAGATCGGCCTATTAAAAAGGCGGAAATCCGCCTAAATGGATTGGAGCATTCAATTAAGGCTCACGAGGCAGTACTGGTCGTGGCTACCGCGGCCAACTGCGAGGTCCATGGTACAGCATGGGGACATACAACGGCCACCTAGGGGACAGGGGAGCCTATGGCTCCGCCTGCCCCTAGCCGCAGCCAAGAAGGTGTCCCAGATGGGGCACCTTATAATCGGCTGGTCAAAGGTGAGAGTGACCCTTCTCGAGGCGCGGCCGCTTAGGTGCCACAGATGTCTCGAGAAGAGTCACACCCGTGGGACATGCCCGAGTCCCACGGACAGAAGTGGGAGGTGCTATCGGTGCGGCAAGCCCGATCACATCTCCCACGACTGTCGGCTCCAGGTAAAGTGCCCGCTATGTGCGGACCAGGGAAGGCCGGCAGGACACCTTCTGGGAGCGAAGAACTGCTCCCAGAAGGTGGTTAGAGGGAGGGAGCCAGGTCGGGAGCGACCTAAACAGCCAACTGGCAGCGGCTCCGGGGTTGAGGCTGGGGCCTCAAGCGAAGACAAGGGCGGGAGGGGCGGGGGCTGCTAGTGGGGGAGAAACCTCTGCCACAGCGCACCCCCCGCGCCCCCCGCGATAGAGTAGAGGAAACAGCGAGGGTCACCGACGAGGTGGCGATGGAGGTCGAGCCCCTTCTAGAGGGGGGAACACAGAGCGATAATGCCTGGCTCCTCTACCCCTCGGATAATGGGGGGGTTCGGCCTCCTTCAGGCCAACGTGGCCCGCTCCCCCAGGGCCCAGGACCTGCTTATGCAGGCCCTGGCGGAGGGGGGCCACACGTTAGCGGTAGTGGCCGAGCCGAGCCGCGTCCCGCCTAACCACTCGAACTGGTTGGGCGGGCGCAGAAACAAAACTATCGCCATTTACTGGCAGTCGTTGCAGGGTGCGCCCACCACGACCGCCCTAGAAAGAGGCGATAGGCACGTCATCGTGCAGTGGGGGCCCATCACGGTCGTGGGGGTTTATTTAAAACCCACCAAGAGCCTCGTCCATTTTGAGGGCTGGCTGTCGGACATCGAGCGATTTGTTCGTCGCTTGAGTCCGAAGCCGGTCCTGGTTGCCGGGGACTTCAATGCCTGGAGTACGGCTTGGGGTTCCCGGCGAACCAACAGCAAGGGCGAGGCCTTAGAAAGGTGGACGGCGGCGCTCGGCCTGGTCTTGTTGAACCAGGGCCGGGTTTCCACCTGCGTGCGGCGGCAGGGAAGTTCCATCATAGACCTCACTTGGGCGACCCCCTCCGCCGCGCGACTAGTCACCGGGTGGAGGGTGATGCGGGACACCGAGAATTTATCGGATCATCGATATATATCGGTGGAACTCGGTGTACTCGCATCACTCGAGCGCCGCCGAGACACGACCGCGATGGGCCCTCAAAAGGCTCCGCGAGGACGCCCTGATGGCCTCCATCGAGGCCGCCTGCTGGGTCCGGGGGACTTTCCCTGAGACCCATGAGACGGATCCCCTGCAAGAGGCTGAGTGGATCGGGGCAACGTTAACAGCAGCGTGCAACGCTGCGATGCCCTGATCCAAGACTCGGCCTCGACGGGCTGTCCACTGGTGGACGGACGAAATCGCCGACTTGCGTCGGCGAGCTGTCCACCAGCGGAGAAGACTTGCCTGCTGCAGGCGCAGGGGCGAGCAGGCGGCCGAGGAGAACGAGGGCTACCTTGCGGCAAAGGCGGCCCTCAAGAAGGCCATCAAAGTGGCGAAGGGCCGGGCGTGGACGGAGTTCCTCAACTCCCTTCAGGAAAATCCGTGGGGGCGCCCTTACAAAATGGTACTCGGGAAACTGAGGCCATGGGCGCCCCCGTTAACAGAGCGGCTGGACGTGGGATTCGTCCAGAGGGTGGTACAGACCCCCTTCCCCGACGACATCGGGGAGGATGGGGGGCCACCCTTACAGCCGGGGGAAGACTCCTCCGACTGGGACGACTCCCTCGACGTCCAGCCGGAGGAACTCCAGAAGGCCGTCAGGAAGGGCCTTAGGGGCAACACAGCCCCGGGTCCTGACGGCCTCCATAAGAAGGTCCACGCCCTGGCCATGGGCGTCCTCGCGGAGCAATATGTACGCATATACAGCGCATGCCTTAGGAGAGGGACTTTCCCCCCGCAGTGGAGGGATAGTGCCATATTGGTACTCCTCCAGAAGGAGGGAAAGGGTGTCTCTCTCCCGTCGGCGTATAGGCCTATATGCATTTTGGACGAGGTGGGCAAGCTGTTCGAGCGCTTGCTCGTTAACCGCCTCGTCCAGCACCTGTCCCAGACGGGCCCCAACGTCAGCGGGGCTCAGTTTGGATTCAGAGAGGGCCTGTCAACGATGGACGCGATCAAACGCGTTCAAGCCCTCTCTGAGGAGATGACGTCCCAGGGGGGGGATGTTAGCTATATCTTTGGATATTTCCAACGCTTTCAACACCCTCCCCTGGAGACATATCAGGGAGTTGCTCCGACGCCACAGGGTACCGTCGTACTTCATTCGCGTCGTGAGCGACTACCTGAGGGACAGGTGGGTCGAATATATCGACCAAGGCGGGATACGCCGGCGGGAGAGACTGCGCCGAGGAATGCCCCAGGGTCCGTGTTGGGACCATTCCTTTGGAATCTGGGATATGACTCGGTGCTACGAGTTCCCCTCCCCCCCGACTGTAACGTCGTCTGCTACGCAGACGACACACTTGTGACGGCCGGGGGCTGCAACTGGGGGGAGTCCCTCTCCAGAGGAGAGAGGGCAGCGGGAGCAGTCATTGGCTCCATCCGCAGTCTGGGCCTCGAGGTGGCACTCGGCAAGACCGAGGCCGTGTTGTTCCACGATGGGGCACACGGCAAGCCGCCCAAGGGACTGTCCCTGACTGTGGATGCGACCCTCGTCGGGGTCAGTCACGAGATGAAGTATCTCGGACTGACGCTCGACGACCGATGGAGCTTTGAGAGCCACCTTGCCGGGGCGGCCGGGCGTGCTGGGGAGCGGGCGACCCCGCTTGGTTGCCTTCTCCCCAACCTGGGTGGCCCGGACGGCAGGGTGCGTCGGTTGTACGCGAATACGGTCAGCTCGGTAGCGCTCTACGGGGCCCCAGTTTAGGCCCCGAGACTTGCGGCATCGAGGCATGCGCGCGCCAAGATGGCGCGTGCTTTTCGCCCGATTGCCGTGAGGGCCTACCGGACCGTTGCGTACAACGCGGCGGCGGTGATCGCCGGTCTCCCCTCAATGGAGATCGTGACGGAGGAACATTACAATATGTTCCTCGAAAGCCGCGAATCAGGGGGGAGCCGATCAGATGGACGGCGAACCACCGTGCTCGGCAAAGACTCCGGCACCGGCGGCGCGCAATCGCCAAATGACGAGAGGCGTTAGTAGCCTCGGGGAACAACACCCCGGGGCTACGCGTCGTTGGGGCAATCGGGCCCCTCCTCGACCAATGGGTCGATAGAGGATGGGGCGGGTTGTCCTTCAGGATGACTCAGGTGTTGACTGGTCATGGGTGTTTTGGCCACTACCTGAGTCGGATCGGAAGGGAGCAAACTCCCGGCTGCCACCACTGTGAGGCCGTGGACGACACTGCCCAGCACACGCTGGCAGAGTGCCCCGCGTGGGCGGATGAGCGGGCAGTGCTCGTCCACGAAGTAGGACAGGACCTCTCTCTTCCAGCGGTGATTGCCGCTATCCTGGAGGAGGAGAGGTCCTGGCATGCATTTGCCTCCTTCTGCGAGAGAGTCTTCTCGCAGAAGGAGGCGGCGGAGCGTGGGAGGAGGGGTCAGATACCCCTTCTCCGCCCGCCACAACGACAACAGCGGCGGCGTCGGGCACGCGGACGTCAACCGCGGGCCCGGCCTGCTGCGGGGGACGGAGCGGGGACCAGTGGGGGACGAGCAGGCCGAGGTACACCATCACCCCCAGCCTCCCCCCCGTTGACGCGGGACAGAGCGAGACTTCTGCCCCCGCTCCGCCCCCTACCTTGTTACCGCCTGTACCGTCCTGACGGGCGGGGAAGGGGTCGTCCGCAAGTCTGCGGACGATACCCCTCCCCCTCTCGCGGCGGACAGATCACCGCGAGGATAGCGGTGAGGCGTAGGCTCTCCCCCAATAACATCGGGGGAGATGGCCTGGGTCTGACGGGCTGGGGTTCCCGTCGGGCCCGGCCTCCATCGGAGGCGGACGGGAGGGGTGGTGGCTGCCTCCCCCGTCCAAAAGAGTAGAGGGCTCCCCCGTAGGGGGAGCCCGCCCTCCCCCCAACGTCACCGGGGGGAGGGAGCGCGAAGGCCCGCTAGACCAACGGCGGGCCGGGGGGGCGGACCGGAAGGAATGACTCCGTCAATACCCGGCCATCCCCCCAAAAGTCAAAGCACCGCGCATGCCACCGCAGGAGTTTAGTGGGTAAGCCCGCGCGCCAAACTACATCTTGGCGCGCACCTCGCTAGATAGAGGAGCAGTCCCACATAACCCGGGTTCAGTCAATAAAACCCCCTTCCAGGGGGGTCCCGGGTATCCATAAAGGATTCTCCTGCGTTATAAAAAAAAAGATATTTGTTATAATTTATCATTTGGCCAGATGATCAAATATGTTCCAATATTCAGCGTGTCTAAAAATAGAGTTTTGATTTTATGCACATTTTTATTCCAATTATATACTTTTAGTATGACAATCAAGATGACAACCCAATCGACACAGATCATCAATGACGTTACATCTATGTTACAATTTTGCACTCAACAATGTAAATGTAACATAACAACGTTATGTTACATTTATATTCTTGAGTGCAAAATTGTAACATAGATATATTATCATTGATGATCTGTGTCGACTGGGGAATCAAATAGAGAACTGTTTCGAAAATGCTATCAGAGTTGTTCTCTCAGACCGAGGTTCAAACTCTAATTAAGACTATGTTTTCAAACATGAAGGAAAAAAGTCGTGTTTGAATTTTATTTTTATTTACAGCAATAACTAAAAAGCACAATATGTCTGAGAATATAACTGGAGAAAAGAGCTTGGAACAACACAGGGTTCATCACGAAAGCGAAAACCAGCAAGAGGAGCTCGAGCAAGAGAACAATCAAAAAGAAATAGAAGAGGTGGAAAAGTCTTGCAAAGACTTTTGGGAAGTAATAAAGGAGGAAATAGGTGTAATATTACCCGTGCACCTGAAGAACCTATTAAATATGACAGGACTTAACAATGATCATTCTATGAAAGGCTTTGAAGCTTCCGAACATTTGCCAGAGCTTGAAACTTTTGCACGCAATGTTATGTCAGAATATGCGAATTCAGTTTGTCCTCCTGAAAGTAAAGAAAGTTATCTTGGTATGTTTGCTAAATGCCCAAAATTGTTTACAATAGCAAGCGGCCATAAAATTATACTTCAGCGAATAAGTGATTACTGTAAGAAAAGACTCAACCAACAGGAAATGTTGATCAAAACTAAGATTAAGGGACTTAAATCACAGTCATCACGTCAATTGCTTGTTGAGTCTGCATCCCTTGTATCTACAGCCCATCAATGTGAAAGAGATAAGTTAGCAGCTTCCATTTTGTCATCGATCCATCAATTGAAAGGTCTAGTTGAGAGTGATCAATCTATCTTAGATAAACCAGTTTTCACCATTGTACATAAGAATGAAGAGCCTTTCAGTGCTTCAATTTGTTGTCCTATATGTAGTGTTGAAAACTGTGCATCTAAAAAGAATTCAAATATAACTGTATATTTTAATCAGGGGTGGTGGCTCTTGTCTAACTATCGCCGGCATTGTTTACGCTTTCATTCAGTTGAAACTAGGATTAAAAATGTTAAAACGTCTCCACAGATTACCATCAAGAGCATGCTTGAAAGAGGCCCAATTGCAGGTACTTCAAATACAGACATTCCTCACAGCCCAACTTCCAATTCAGGATTGTCATCTACAATTCCTCATGATAGTCAATTAGATAATGATGATGATGTGAATTCCAAAAATGAAAACAATGTAATTATAGAGATCCTTTTTCTGATGAAAATAAAAATTTTGTTGCTCCGGGGGTATCCAAGGAGCAGGATACCTCCGTGTAAAGCCAGTGAGGTCATATCAGCTCCAGTCTCGTTTAAATAAGTGGAAATTAGAACAATATTCCCGTGCTGCTAGAAATAAGCGGTTTCTAGAAAGGATATCGCAAAATTATCCTTGCATCACTTCATTTTTTCCCCCGTTTAAATAACCACGAAAAGCTGTTGACAGAAAATTCAGAACTTCGGAAAGTTTTATTGAATTTATCAGACAAATTGACAGAACAAAAGCAAACAGACAATCTATCTAGTATATCATCAAAAGTTCTTAGTGCTCTTGTTAGAACAGCAACGGATAATGCAGGGAAAAGTGTCCATGGATTTAAGTACAAAGAAGAAATTGTTTCCAAGTTTGCTAGTCTTGTATTCTTTATAGGCGGTAGATGGCTGTATGAAGTTTTACA